GATATTATATTTACAATTTTTGTATGACGTAAATATATCGATTTCTATAAAAATAAAAAAAAAAGAAAAAAAAGGGTTGAAATCGACGACGCCATCTACGAAACAATCATAACTGACATTGCGTTATCCTAATCAATTACGTGGAAACTTTTGTTCGAAACATTTTTTTTTTTTTTTTACATAATCAATAAAATACAAAAATATTTGGCTCATTACTTTCGTTTAATAAAAAACGAGTCATTTTGTACAAACGATATACGTACGTGTAAATAAATATTAGAAATTAACTGTGCGTTTAGATTTACTTTCAACATGGAGGATACTTATTCGCTAACTATGTTCGAAAGTTTTCGTTGAGAATAATATAGGAAAATACGTTCAATGACCGATCATCAATTTCTATGTGTCTATTAATGGGAAAATAATAATAATAACAATAATAATAATTCATAATATAATCCTATGATGAACGATCAAGAGTGCGTGCGTGCTCTCGCCTACGCGCGATCATTATGGTTTCTTTTTTCTTTTCTTATCTCATTTATTTTCTTCCTCTTTTTTTTTTTTCCTATTACAATTTAATCAAGCGTTCACTTCCGAGAGATTCGATCATGCTTGAAAAATTTACGATCACTTCCTTGTTCCTTTTAGCCTTTACAAATGTATGGGATATACAGAAATAATTTTTCTTTTTCTTTCTTTTTTTTTGTAAATTTAACGCAAAGAACAACGGATAATTTAATTGGCGCACGCGCGCGCATTCGACACAGATTTTGTTTGTTCTTTTCTTCTTTCCTTTTCTCTTTTCTTTTTTCTTCTCTTCTTTTTCATCTCTCTTTTCTCTCATTTCATAACTTTATTATTTCATTGCAGGAGTTGTTTTAAGTAAATTTTTTCGGCGTTCTTTTTTTTTTGTACGAGTTTACCGCCATTTTGGAATTGGTCCATATTTAAAATTTGTAAAAACAATAATAATAATAGTAATAATAATAATAATAATAATAATAATAATAATTATAATAATAATGTTTAGTTATATTAATTCAATTTTTTATATATAATATAATTGTTTATAATTCGTTTATAATTTTCTACGAAAAAATTGTGGATTAAAAATTCGGTCATTTTGAAATTAACGATATATTTAAAAATTTGTAAAAAAAAAAAAATAACAATAATAATACTAATATTTAATTACATTAATAATATTTAGTTATATTCGTTTATTATTTGATATTGAAAAAATTAAAGATTATAAATCCGATCGAATTTGTTTAATTTTATTTACTATCAATAGGTTATGTCTCTCGACATTTTGAAATTGATCGGTCGATTCAAAATCTTAAAAGAAGAAAAATTAACAATAACAATAATAAGAGATAATGTTGTTATATTAATTAAAATATATTTATCTATCACTATTACATAATTTATGTTTATATTACTTTGAAAAAAAAAAGAAAATGTAATTTCGATGAATTTTTTACTGTTTTTAATAATAGAAACGCCATTTTAAAATTAATTGGACAATTTAAAATTTCCCTCCCAAAAAAAAAGAAAAAAATAAATGAAAAAAAAAATAAATAAATAAAATAATAATAATAATGTCGAGTGAAATATATTAATCAAATCTTTTATATATATATATATATATATATATATATATATATATATATATAAAGTATGCACAAGTTTATTATAATATTATATTAATAATTAAATAAAATAAATTCGTTCGATTTGTACATTTTTTTTTCTCGACGTCTTTTACCGACATATTCGAAAATATATTCAATCGAATAAACTATTTAATCTGATTCCCATAGATAATTTAATTTCAATATAAATTACGAGAAAACGAAGTCGTCTTGTTGTCCCACTTTGCACTTGAACTATTCACCGTGAATGCTCATCGAAAAGGTCGCTACTTTTCTCCGAGTTTGCTTGTGAAAGTTACTAAAGAACGAGGGGGTCTGATTGGTAGGGGGGGAGAGGGATAAGGCCCAGGTTCCTCAATCCCGCTATCTTAGTCTTATTTTTGGTTAAAATCGATAAACGAGTTGAAATGTATGTGTATATGTGTTTTTTTTTTTTTTATTCTCTATTACCTTTTTTCCCTTTCGTTATGTTAAACATAATATATGAGGTATGTATATGTATATGTGTGTGTGTGTGTGTGTGTGTATATGTATGTGCGTGTCTATGTATTATCTAAAGAACGAATCAAATATGTTCGCGTGACGTGTACAAGATAGGTAGGTGAGTTAAGTGGAGAAAAAGGAAATGGAGCGACGCAAGACGGAAGGAAACTCTCTAACGTCGAGTTAGTGAGAATATTTCCGTACAATTAGTAATAGTTTAGCTTAGCGCACGTGAAAGTTACACGTTTTGATTTAATCGAAACGATTACTAAGTCGATGAAGATGATATTTACTTTATAACGCCATTTTTTTTTCTTTTGCCTTTTCTTTTGTTTTGTTTTTTTTTCTCTTTCTTCTTCCGACATTTTGTTCTATCCGACACGTTTTAATCATCCATAATCTTTCTTTATACGCCATTTCTTTTTTATCCACAATTTTTCATGCGTCATCTTTTTTCTCTGCCCGACATATTTTTTCTTTTCATTATGTTTTTCTTTTTTTTTTTTTTGGCCGTCATTTCTCTCATCTACCATTTTATTGTTCGTCATCTTTTTTGTCGGTTATTTCGTTCTTTGCCATTTCTCGTTCATTCGACATGTTTTCATCGGACATTTTTTCGTCCGCCATTTTTTTTTGTTAGCCATTTTCTTGTCCACCATTTTTTTTTATTAGCCATTTTCTTGTCCACCATACTTTTGTCTTTTGTTTGTTTCGTTCGCATTTATTCAATTCTTTTTATTTCGATTTTGACGTTCATTTATGTACTTTCTTATCGCGACAAAATTTTTGGAATGATATATATATATATATATATATATGTATATATATATATATGTATTGTACAAGTATTCTCAGTATATCTTTTCGCTTGAGAAAACGAGCAATCGAAACCGAGAGTTTTAGCTTGTCCATTTGAAACCACACGTTATATATAAGCTACATACATCTCTCTCTCTCTCTCTCGCTGTTTCTTTCTATCTTTCTCACTCTCTTTCAAGGAAAGTGTAACAACGGCCTCTCTGGCGTTGAACAGAGAAATGAAAGTGGTAGCTTCGACTGTCCCGATAAACCAAACTTGGTAAATTCATAGTCGTCGACTAGTATAGTTTTAATGTATTTCTTTCTCTCTCTCTCTCTCTCTCACATATATATATATATATATATATATATATATATATATGTATACATGTATATGAAATATATATGTATATATACATAGTAAATGTGTAAAATCTTTTATTTAACTGGAAAAATTAAATAAAACATGAAACACATTTACGATACCCGTTATTTTAAAGGTTATGTTTGGTATAGGTTATGATTTAGGTTATGTATATTCATTAAAACGCGTTGACGTATTTATTTAAAAACGAAATTTTCTTTTCTAAATATATGAAATAAGAGGAGAACAAAAAAGAGATTGTTGCAATTTAATATAAATATATATATATATATATATTTCTTTTTCTAAATTTTATGAGTTTAATATATTTATGTACGTGTTCTTTTTTTTTGTAAGATTTATATAATACTCGTATATATTATATTTTTTAAGATATATAATTTGATTGTATTACGGATAATACGTAAGAAATATTTTAATTTCAATTAAATTTCGTTTTTCTTTTCTTATTATTTTTTTTTTTTACGTCTTTTCGCTCGCTTCACCCCAACCCTCTCTACGCCCGATATCAGCCATTAGCAATTTTAATTTTTTCGACCATTTTTATTTATCGTCATTTTTCTTTTTCCGCCATTTTTCTTTCATCTCAATAATCAATGTAGTTAAAAAAAAAAAAAAAGAACTAGTCGAAGAAAAACTCATATTTAAGAAAAGCACAAAATTAATGGAAATTTTTGTAACTGACGATAATGTACTTAAACGGCAAACATTTGCTGTATGAACTGTACTTAAAACGTGATCGCGGCACTTTCACTGTGAATTCAAGCTACGGTCGCCATTCGTCGGCTTAATTCAATCATGATAATAATAAGAGTAATATAATGATAATAGTAACAATAACAATGGTCGATTATTATTTGACAATGTCTTCTTTTTTTTTCTTTAAATGTTTCTCGATGTTCATTGAATAAAAAAAAAAAAAAAGAAAAAAATAGAAGAGAATCTTTTGAAGAATTTGGAAAGAAACATTTTTTTTGAACAAAATTTGGAAGAAGAATAAAAATTTTCTCGAGTATACTCGTTCCTTTTTTTTTTTCAAACAGATAAATAATTAAATATGATTAGATCGGGAAAAAGAAACGAAAGAAAAAAAAGATAATAATTCCTGCGAAAATATTTGAAAGAACAAAAAAAGTGAGAAGAGAAATTAATTTTTGCGAGGAAATTTTAAGGAAAAGAGAAAAAGAAAAAGAAAGAGAAAAAAGAGAAAAAGTAGTTCTTCTTTTTAAGTTCGAATGATATTAATAACTTTTCATTTTTCATTCAGAACAAATAACTAAATAAATAAATTAAGTAAATTAAGTAAATTAAGAAAATAAAATAAATGAAAAAGTATAAGAATAATTTTTTTCTCTCGTATTTTATTTTCCTCATTCTTTTTCTTTTTTTGTCGTATTCCGAATAAAGTAAATAAAACGAATAAAAACAAAATTAACTTATTTCTCGTATTTTCTTTTCTACCTCTCAATTTTTTTTTTTTTATCGTTTTAACTTCTTTCAATCCCTACCCCCACGCCTCGTTCATTCTTTTTTCTCATTAAAAGCAATCGTCGTTCTGTAAGTCGTAACTTAAAAATAAAGATAACGGAGAAGGTCGAAAAAAAAAGTCGAAAAAAAAATAAAAATGAAAAAAATAAAAGAAAGATGAAGAAAAAGAAAAGTAAAATAACACTTACGTCATTTATGGTCGATCAGAACGGAGGTGGTTCGATTGGCTTGGAGATTTTTAACGGTCCTCATGTTTCCATTGTCACACTGATTGAGATCCGCGACATCGTCGATGATGACGATGACGACGTTGAAGAACTTCTGGTTTATACGTGTATTAAGTTGTGCAGCACTTAGCGATATCAATAAAATGGCCGACTTCGCGAAACAAAATGGCCGACTTAGCAAAACAAAATGGTCAAATTAACGAAACAAAATGGCCGATTGATACGAATTTTTTGGTTAGAAAAAGAAACTCGCTCAAAAAAAAAAAAAAAGAAATTGACCAGACCAAAAAAATCTCCCTTTTTATTTCATATATTTTATCTTATTAATTTTATTTATTTATTTTCTTTTGCTCCCTTTGAATTGTTCATCCACCAAAATTGAAGTATCACTTGAGCACACAAAAATTAAACACAAATGTCGTCCAGTTGTATCTTGTCCAACTAATCGTGAATATTGCTTCTGATTTGTTTTCTTTCGCAATGATTCCTTTTATTTGGAGTACCGAAAACAAACAAAAAAGAAGGGGTTGGAGTTGATGGAAAAATTGACAAAAAAAAAAAAAAAAGAAAAAGAAAGAAAAAAATAAAAATAAAAAAATGGTAAAAAGAATTCGACCGAATTTGGGCGAAAATTTTAAAAATTAAAAAAAGAATGAATTCTTACGAATTGTTTAAAAAAGTATAAATTAATTAAAATAAATTAAAAAATTATATACACACACACACATATATATACATATATATATATAAATTTTTTTTAACCCATACACACACATTCACTCATACACATACGAGCGATTAAATATTCCAAAATTATTTCTTACGAGATATATTTGTATACAGGGTGAGCCAAAAGTTTTTACACGATCCAAAAGTTATTAGGTAATTTAAAAAAAAAAAAAAATCAATTAACTCATTCCTCGAGATATTTTAAGCTAATTTCTATGATTGGCTAATTTTATGTGCATATCTCGTAGTTTTATGATCCGTAGAAAAAAAATTAAAATCGAATTTCTACAATATAAATAATCGACTTTTAAAATGACCTATGAACTTTTCGCCGAAGTAAAGATTTTTGAAACACACTATGCATAGAAAATTTTTTAAACGATAAAAAAAAATCTTCGTTCTTTTCTATATAATATATTAATGTATTATTTAAATATTAAAAATATATATATATATATTTATATATATATATATATACATTTTTACAAATCAAAAGCAAAAAAGAAAATATTCAATTCTTTGAAGGACCTTCTTTCGAAAAAAAAAAAAAAAAGAAAAAAGAAAAATGTTATCTAGATATTAAAAATATTTGTTCTTATTTATTTTTTCTTTCCATTTGTCTTTTACATTTTTTTTGTTTTTTGTTTTTTTTTCTTTTTTTTTTCAATAAACATTCTTAGCAAAATATTTGCGTGAAAATATTTTTGGAAATATTTCGAACGAATAAATAATTTCTAAATGGTGAAACAATAAATGTAAGAAACTAATAAAAAAAAAAAAAAAAAAAAAAAAAAAAAAAAAAAAAAAAAAAATATAAATTTAAACGAAAAACATTTATTATTGTTATTATCATCATCATTATGCAAATATTTATTATTCGTTCTTTTTATTCCTCTTTTTATTTCTTAATTTTCTCTAATTTTTCTTTTTATCTTTTTTTTCCTTTTCTTCTTTTTTTTCTTTTTTTCTTTTTTTTTGTCTTTCATTTATTCACTTTCTCGACAATCAATCGTCACGAACGAGAGAGTACGTAATAATTTTTTTTCAGCTTCTTTTCTCTTCTTTCTTTTTCTCTCTTTTTCTTTTTTTTTTTTTTTATTCCTTGTATATTTGTCATTTTTTTTTTTTTTTTTTTTTTTACCAAATCGAACGAAGAAGAACACTCACACACACACATGCATACACACACACACACACACACACATGCACATGCGCGTGCTCGACGAAATGGTCGATTCGCAAACTCGTCCTCCTGGTTACGCAAACCCGGACGACAACAGCCAGAAATAGAAGAAGTTGGGTGCCTTTTTAGACGCGTTTAAAAAAAGAAAGAAAGAGATAGAGAACGTCTGAGTACATATGTGACTAAGAGAAAGAGAGAGAGAGAGAGAGAGAGAAAGAGAGAGAGTGAAAAAGCTGTAGTCTTTATAAGTACTTACACCTTATTATCATTTTGTATCAGATTATCTACGTACCTGATCATTACTTACATAGGTACTTAGAGATTTAACGAAACCTTCGTGATTTCCGATCTTAATTAAATGGCTTGATTATTTATTTCTCTCTCTCTCTCTCTCTCTCTCTCTCTGTCTGTCTGTCTGTCTGTCTGTCTGTCTGTATGTATGTATGTCTCTCTATTTCATTCTCTTTCTCTTTCAATCTCTCTTTATGTTACACGACATAATGGATTTATTTAAATTGACGTTGTAATAACGCGTGTGATGTATCCGTT